CTTTAAAAACTAAAAATAGATCTACCATATGATCTAGCCAACCCACTATGGGTATTTATTTATCCAAAGAAAAAGAAAGCAGTATATCAAAGGGGTACCTATACTCCCATGTTTATTGCAGCACTCTTCACAATATCAAAGATATGGAATCATCCTAAATTTCCATCAACAGATGAATGGATAAAGATATCCATATCTTTATGGATATATATAGATCTATATATCTACGTATCTTATATCTATATATGTATAAATATATATACATGATAGAATATTATTTGGCCATAAAAAATAATGTCATTTGCAGCAACATGGATGGAACTGGAGGTCATTATGTTAAGTGAAAAAAGACAAATATCACATGCTCTCACTCACATGTGTGAGGAAATCACAGGGAGGTAGAGTGTGGCATGATTGATACCAGAGACTGGGAAGGATGTATGGATGGGAGGAGGGATGAAGACAGGTCCGCTAATGGGTACAAATATACAGTTAGATAGAAGGAATAAGTTCTAATGTTTGATAGCAGAGTAGGGTGACAATAGTTTACAACAATGTATTGTATTTTTCAAAATAGCTGGAAGAAAAGACCTGAAATGTACCCAACACATAGAAATAACAAATATTTGGGTGATGGATACCCTAAATACCCTGACTTGATCATTATACATTCTATGTAGGTAACAAAATTTCATATGTACTTATGGATAAGTATAAATATAATGTATAAGAAATTAAAATTAAATAATAAATGGTCCAAGAAACCAGAAAAAATATATTGAGAATAAAAAAAAGAAGTGTAAAGATCATCGGTGAACTGTGGGACAACTTCAAGCAGCCCTAACATATACATAGATGGAGGAAGGGGTGTTTTATAATAAAGAATTTTTCAAGTCTTTGTCCCAGGTTCCTAGGACAGAGATTTTAAACCCTTGGAATTTTTTAAATGATAGGAATATCTTTGTTTTTCCTGGTGGGCCCTGGATACTTTCAGGATGGGGACTTGCTATACCAGAATGGCCAACTATGTGACTAAAGTTGGGGCTTTTAGCCAGGTGATACGACCTCAACTCCTTCAAGGGGAGGCAGCCTAGAGATTGAATTCAGTATAACATGGCCAGTGATTCAATCTATTATGCCCTCATAATAAAACACCAATAAAAATTCTGAACACTGAAGCTCAATTGAGCTTCCTTGGTTAGTGATACACAACAATGTGTTGGAAGGATGAAGTTGTGAGAAAACAACCTAAACATCATTTGATAGGTAAACAGATTATGTATATACAGTGGAATATTATTCAGCCTTAAAAAAGGAAATCCTGTTATATACTATAACATGTGTGAATCTTAAGGGCATGGAAAGGGAAATAAGTCACAAAAAGGTGAATACTATATATTTCCAATTACATGAAGTATCTAAAATAGTCAAACTTAGAAAATTTAGGGTGGTTGCTAGAGACTGGGGGAGGACTAAACTGTTGTTTGGTGGGTATAGAGTTTCAGTAATGCAGGATGGAGTGAGAGGATCTGTTGCACAATAGTGTGCATGTGGTTAACAGTATTGTACTGTATTGTTGGAAACTGTACTGTATTGTTGGAAGGGTGAATTTTATGTGCTTTTTCTGCCACAATAAAAAGAAAAGAAAGTTGAGTGGTTATATTAGTATCAAAGTAGTATTTAGAACAAATACTGTTGCTAGGGAATAATAAAAGGATCATTTCATCAAGAGGACATAACAGTTCTAAATGTTTATGTACCTAATAATAGACCTTCAAAGTGCATGAAGCAAAATCTGATAGAACTGCAAGGATAAATACACAATTATAGATGTCCATACACTGTTCTTAATACTCAATAGAACAAACAGAAAATCAATAAGGATATATAACACTTGAATAACACTTCAATCAACCTGAACTAATTGCCATTTATATTACACTTAACCCATCAACTTTCCTTTTTTGTGTGCACAGAATATTTACCAAGATAGACCATATTCAGAGCCATAAAACAAACCTCAATAAATTTAAAAATATTCAAGTCATATGAAGTTTGTTTCCTGACCATAATGGAATTAAATTAGAAATCATAGCAGATCTTTGAAAAATTCCCCAATATTTGGTAACTAAATAACTCTTCCAAATAACCCATTGGTCAGAGAAGAAATCAAAAAGAAAATCAGGAAATATTTTGAATTGAATGAAAATGAAAACATAACATTTTTAGGATGCTACTAAGGCTGAATTTAAGAATGAGTTTAGCAAGGTTACAGAGTATGTGATCAATATACAAAAATCAGTTGTCTAATATACTAACAACAAGTAATTGGAAATTAAAATTTAAAAAACAATATCATTTGTCATACCACCCAAAAATATGAAATACTTAGAGATAAATCTGACAGAAGATGTGTAAGCCCTATATGCTGAAAACTTTAAAACATTTCTGAGAGAAATTAAATAAGATTTCTATAAATGGAGAGAGATGTCATGTTTTTTATGGGTGGGAAGACTTGATATTGTAAAGATGTCGATTCTACGATAAATTTGATACTTACAACCATAGGAGTGTTTCATATGCTCTCCTTCTAAAAAATAATTAAAGTCAGCCAGTATATATGGGAATGAAATCCAAAACAGAATGTTAACAGTAACAAATGAAATGAACCACATTGAAGAGGAGGATGGAGGAAGAAAAGGAAAGAACCAGGCTAACTTTGGAAAACAATATTTAACTATATACTGTAAAATTAAGACAAAAGGAGCTATATACAAATACTGTACTGTAGTTAGTAAATTTATCACTTGTGTATGTGTTAGCAATTCTTTTACTATAATAGGATTGAATAAATAGGTGAATATATTGCAGATAATGAATGCCCAATTTCTCAATGTTAGTAAAAGAAGTTACAAAGGAAAGGAGAAAAGCTAGAATGAACCTTGTGGTGTTAGATTAGAATGAGTTATCTCTATGAATATTAGTTTTTAATATATATACAGCCAGATTTAGAAAGAAAATAGATATGTGTATGTGCATGGATTGGTGCACATACATCTATTTCCTAGTTCTGCCTGCTAAGATGGCCTAGTAGTAATGGGCACATGTTATACACATAGATTTGATTTCTAAATACCAATCTCCAGGGCTAGGGTGAGGAAACTACAAGATAAACCTGGACCATCTTATGATACCAGAAAATATGGAAGTGCCCGCAAAAGGACACAAGGGTATGTCAAGAGGACACAGAAACCAACCTGAAGGAGCTCCTAATGGCCAAAGCTAGATCAGTTTGAGCAAAAAAATAAATAATGGTAGTATAGCATTACTACCCATATGATAAATATACATGAATCTGTACTGATATAAAGTGAACAAATATATGGGAGAGAAGGGACTGCTTTTCCCTATAGAAGAATTCTAATAAATGTAGACAGAATGAGGAAAATACAAAGTCACTATTAAACACTATAACATAAATGTTGCAGTCATGATCGACCAATAGATGCTAAAATCAGTGGACAAAAGTTTGAGAAGAAATAGGATATTGGCATAGTCCCCAAGTATCTCCCCCACGGTATTTATCAGTTATTAAGGGAAAATAGATAACTTTACGGTGGAGTACACAGCAGACGTCATTTGAACCAAGTGTAATCAAAATTAACATCTCCAGATACAAGATAGATTGATAGCACATAGCACCTGTATTATGTATGCACTGAAAAGGACACAACGTCACTTCTGTCATATTCCTGCTGAAAATGTGTAGCCCTAATCAAGTCATGACAAAACATCAGACAAAACCAAATTGAGAGACATCCTATAGAATAAATGACTGGAACTCATTAAAAGCATCAAAATCATGAAAGATAAGGAAAGACTGAGGAACTACCACAGATTGGAGGAGACCAGTGAGACACACAAACTAAATGCAGTGTAGGATCCTCGAACAGAAAAAGACATTGAGGAAAAACTGGTGAGATTTAAGGTCTGTAGTTCAGTATTTTATCAATGTTCATTTTACGATTATACAATGGTTTGTGAGTTACCATTAGGGGAAGCTGGGAGAGAGGCACAGGAAATTTCTCTACAATATTTTTTGTGAGTATAAAATTATTTCCAAATTAAAACTTAAAAAAATAGTAAGGACCACTGGTTTGAGGCTATGTATTGGTAGTTATGTATAGCTAACTGCTCTGAAGAAACAAAGAAAAGAGGTAACTGATGTCTATCCATTGGTGACTAGCCAATATTAATAGGTTCTATCTATGTTGGCATTGCTACTTCCTTTGGTTATTAAATTAATAGTAATTACCTCTGATAGTTTCTCTAGACTCATTCAAAGTGCTTTAAAAATCTAATTAGAAAATAAAAACAGTATTTTAGGGTTTTCATATTCTAACAGTCTTCAATAAGAACAAGATACTAGATTTAGAAATGAATCCTAAATTGAAATAAAACAGTTTTGTCCACACAATTATTATGACAAAAACTGATGGACATTAGCTGGCTCACACAACTTAACATAGGCAGATTTCAAACTACTTGGCTACATGTACTGTTTTTTTCAAAAATTTCTCATGTTTCTGGAAAGTTAAGAAAAAGAATCATTCTCCTGGGCTTATGTCTGTCACATCTTTTCTGTGTAAATATCACTTAGCAACCTCTACCAAGATCTGTGGGATGAATTTCCCTGACATACTTGATGTGTTAGAATTATAACTGCATACCTCTAAGACATTTGAGTCACAAATCACCAAATATAGCTAAATTAAAATTTTAACTTTATTAAAGTATACTATACATACAGAAAAGCACACACGTATACTTGTAATAAAACTTGAATTTAATAAAGTATTAAATAAATTTTAAGTGCATTGTTCAATATTATAAAATAGCAAGATTGCTCAACTGGTAATGTATTATATAGGAAGTAAAAAATTCTGTAGGCATAATTGTTGGATGTTTGTTAATTTCGTTTTGGTTTTGATCTTTTTCAGGATGTGGTGGATACACACCCTGGTCTTACGTTCCTGAAAGATGCTCCAGAATTCCACTCCCGCTACATCACCACGGTAGGCTTACTCCTCTTTTTTCTTAATGTAACTCTGTAAGTCACCTTTTAATCACTATCTGGTGTTCAGAATTTCAGATATTTATGCAAAAGCTAACATGGGCTATAATGATTATTTTTAACTGGAAAGAAGGTGAATAAACTTGAATTATTTATATCTATTTCCCTTCTTATTTATGCCCAAAGGAGTCTCTTATATATGAAATTAAAGTAATATACTCATTCTGTCTGGCCCTATGAGGTATACCTTTTGCTGTTATGAATGTTAATATCCAGTTGATCTTTAGTATTTCCAAATAAGACTGAAAAGAATTTTTGACAGCCTATCCCAGAAAAAGATATGTCTCTAGTACTTCAAGGTTAGAACTGGAAATGATGAGAAATACCTTGTGTATAATCAGAAGGTAAAGCATGTAAGAATTTAAAGTAACATAATCGCAATCCCCTGTTTTGTGAGGTGCTCATACTTCCTGTTTCTCAGGCACAGCCTCGTTTGGTCAGTCACAGGCAGGGCATGGATTATGAGTGAGAGCACACAGACCTGCAGTGTACAGTGTAGCTATTTCATGTGTTCTCTGTCCTAGCTCCCAGATTATCTTTGGGGACATTCCACAGACAAGCCCTCAGGCCATTTATAGACACACTCAAGGGAGAAGGCCCTTGCCTCTAACTCAGATCCCTCAGTTAACCTGGGCAGTCTCCTTTGAGGACCACCCTCTAATTCTTTGGGTATAGTTTGTTGGGATGTGTTAGGTTCTGCCGAGTTACAAAATACTTTAAAACTACAGAAGTCCCTCCTGTAGGGACTTCATTCTTTACTTTTACACAGGCTTTCTTCTGTTAGTGTTAAACTTTGTAAGATTTTATCTGAGCCAGAAGGTGTCACTGTCATCTCAGACTATCTCAGAAGTTATTTTTGCCTGTTAACCACAACGCTGTACTAAATTACCTCCACCACAATCTAGGTAATCACCCTCATTTGTCATTTGGATTACTTCTAATTGGCCTCCCTATTAGCACCTTCATGGTTTCCATAAGGCAAACTGAGTTATCCTTTAAAAATATAAGTCAGATCATATCACTCCTCTGCTCAAACCCTCCAAATAGTTTCCCATCTCACTCAGAATAAAAGCTGAAGTCCTTGCCCAGACTCACCATAATCCTCCCATATCCTCATAATCCCTGCTCTCTGATCTCTCTTCCCTCCCTCCCTGCTGCTTACTCTGCTTAAGACATATAAGCAGACCAGATCTACTTGTGCCTCAGGTGCTTTGTTCTTCCTCTTTCCTTTGCCTGCAGTGCTCTTCCTACAGATTTCTACACTGTTGCTCCCTTACTTCATCCAGATATCTGCTTAGACATTCCCTTATTAGTGAAGCCTTTCCTGATCACATTCTGCCTTCATTATCCTTCTTTGCCCCCTGTCTCCTCCCTCTACACTCTCTATTCCTTTGTCCAGCTTTATTTTCCTTCTTAACTCCTGTCATCTGATATTTAGATTTTATTTGTTTATTGCCCATCTCCTTCTCTCAATATAAAATCCATGAGAGCAGGGTCTTTGTATTTTTCACTGCATATACCCGGTACCTAGAATAGTGCCTGGCACATATTAGACACACAATAACTATGTACTGAGTGAATACATGAAATTATTCATGCTTAAGAATTCTATAATAGCTCTGGCTACAATTCCAAAGAATTACTGGGTTCTGATTATTGACTGTTCTGTAAACTCAGGCATATTAACAGCATAATTTAGAATCTTAAGAGTTGGAAAAGATCTTAGAAATAATCTAGTCCAACCTTCTACCAATTCAGAAAATGCTCTCTACAGAGGAACTTTGTTATTTTAATTTATTTGTAGAGATATTAAAGAACAAAAGAATAAAGTAGAGATAAATTTTCTTTCTGTATACTTTTTAGTTTGGTATTTCTTTAAGTACCTGGACCTGTGATAGTCTGTGGTCATCCAGCAAGTGGTTCCCAAGAAGTTTTATGATTTCAGAGTGAAAGCCATGAAACCATTTTGTTCACATATAATTCACATTTTCCAAGAAATTCTATCATATTAATAATCATTTAACAAGGTTAGGCATGGTGGCTCATGCCTATAATCCCAGCACTTTGGGAGGCCAAGGCAGGAAGATCACTTGAGACCAAGAGTTCAAGATCACTGGGCAACAAAGCGAATCCCATCTCTACAAATAAACAAATTAACTGGTCGTGGTCTTGCATGCCTGTAGTCCTAGGTACTCAGGAGGCTGAGGTAGGAGGATCGCTTGAGCCCAGGAATTTGAGGTTACAGTAGTGTGATTGCACCACTGCACTCCAACAGCCTGGGTCATAGAGCAAGACCTCGTCTCTGAAATAAATAAATAAATAAATAGCTGTTGAACAAAACTGCACTGGTCAATTAACAGAATATAGTTAATTATCTCTACTGTCATTTTTTCATAGCATTTGTATAATTATTTGAATTTGTTAAATTTACACTTTGTTATATAATGCTGCTTTATTCTCAGTTCACAAAAATGATTCTGTTACTCAGAAGTAGTCATTAAAGTGTAAAATACTTGTGATGAAATAATGATATGATACCTCAAAATAGCATCATAACATAAAGAATAAAGAGGCCTATTCAGGAATATAGAATGTGAATCTGTCTTTACTGAGATAAGTGAATAACTGATGTCATGATAATCTTACACTACCACCCAAAAATGAAAAGTGCAAATAAAAAGTTTAACAATGAATATCTGGAAATAGAATTTTATCAGACTGCTTATCCGTTCTCCCCAGTGCCTTTTCTGTTACAAAACTTGGTCAAATAATGGCCAAGTTTCATTGCAAATCATTGAAATCTTTGCAGTATTCCATAGTATAAATCATTTTATCATATGACCCTATTGAATGTTATATAATGTCAGTGGCATACAGTGTAGAAGAACAATTATAATAGTATGATTGCATGCTAGAGTTATTTAGTTATTTCAGTTTGTAGTTGGAAGAAAACACTGACACAAAGTGTGCCCCAAATATTAGCTTATGTATGATACATATATGATGAAGAAAAATTGGACAACTTTTATTTTCTATTTATCATTGAAAGCCTATGTTATAGGAAGACTATTTAGTTAATTATTTTGTCAGCTATTTTTAGACTGGAAAAAGAGCACCAGCTATATATACTGTAAAGAAGGACATCACTACCCAAATAAGAGATTGCACCTAAAGTCAGTCCATATTCTTTTTTATTTCCCAAAAGAGTTAGCAGTTAAGAAATAAGCCTTTCGTACTGAATGAAAATGAAAATTAGAAATACCAGCAAATTGTAGCCCTTGAGTTTGCAGTTTTACATGCTGTGCAGAGATTGCCAGTGAATAAAAAAGGCTCTGCTTATCCAAACTGACATATGCTGACTTTTGAGGAAAGAAGTCCTCACTTGAGTTTTTAAAATAAGTGATGAGATTTAAAATACTTCTTTATGACACTGGTGCTGGCAGTAAAGATATTTCTGTGGCTTGCTCAGATGGTGTCTTAGTCATATATTCAGTATCATGATTGGCCTGAATCCCATCACTTCAGGCTGAAATGCCAGGTTTTTAATTGTTGAGGACAAGAAACTGATATTTCCTAAGATGACTAAGCTGTGGTGAAGACTGCTTATCACTAAGAGCTTATTAACTCTTTCCCCTTGAAAACTTTTCTTCATAGAGAATGAAATCATTTTTATTTAAAGTCCAACTTCTAAAGCAGACCTTGAAGAAATACTTTTCAGAGCCATGTTAACTAAAGAGAGGATTAGAAATCCATTCACTCCTCCCTGCCAAGTGGCAGAGCCAGGTTTGCAGCATTTGAGTATGCTTTTCGGCAGTCATGTCATCTATAGTGAGAACTTCTTTGTAATTTCTGCATCTGCATTTAATTCGCTTATCAAAAACTACATGATAAAGCCACCAAACGCTTACTTCCATTCCTGGTGACCTATATTTGTGAATTAGAGGCTTCCAATTCCATAGATAAAAAGAAGAAAGGAAACTGTCTCATGATTCAACCTATCAAGTTGACTAGAGGTCCCGTGGTGAAAGATTGTCAAATTTCATTTCTCTCACTGGTAGTAAACAGTCATTCTAATTATAGTTTATTTTTAAGTTTGTGTTTTTTTGACATTTTTTAAATGGTGATTAATTTTTATTCACTTAGAAGTAGTAGGCCAAAAGTTAGAAAAATAACAATTGTAATTAATGTAGAACCAGCAGCTATATGCTTTCACCACTAGATGGTGGCCTGACCTTGATTATCTAAAATGCTGAATCAGTGATGTGGAAACCAACAAATGTGCTGATGAAGTGGGGCCACTGAATAAAGAGATTTAGGCTATGAAAAAATGGACTACAGGTACATTGTTTTATAGTATTAGATAAGTAGGTTAGCAGAGGCTAAAAATAGCAAATGCCTAATAGCCAAACTGCAACTTTTAAAAATTGTGTCAAAAGAAACAAAAGAAGACAAAAATAAAATAGAAGAACTGGATACAGATTAAAGTTGTATACTTTTTAACACAGTACTTCCATAAATAAAATATTTGAGTATATAAATATAAAATTTAAGTAGGAAACTCATAATTTAAGATAAATTTATATACAAAGTCAAGAAATAAGGACAAAAAACTAATGTTCAACAAAGGTGAAAAGAAAAATTTGGTGTAATAATATGTATTGAAATTGACTTTAACTTGAGAGAGGGGAAGTGAAATTATGATAAATGAAATTCTTAATGTTTATTTTCATATATATAATTTCCATGCTAAAAATCTCCCATCATTTTTATATGAACTTTTGCCAAGCTAGTGCTAAGGAGGTGTTGAGCAAGACACATTCTCTGTCCTCCAGGATGTCAGAGTCTGAGTGATTGAGGCAAGTAGAGAAATTGGGCACCCAGCTCCTACCTAATGCAGGAATCCTGTCAACTCTGTGGTGAAAAGAAACCTTACCTTCATACAAACACATTATTTCATAAAGCTAATTTTAAGAAACTAACCTATTTTGAAGCATTTCATTATAAGGACATCTCCATCTAGCAGTTCTAATTCTGCCCTCTGGTGCAACACAGAACAAGTCAGTTTCTTCTTCTACCCAGGAGTTAGCCATTCAGATCATGAGCCTATCTCTAGTCTTATTTTTTCCTCGAGATTAAACATTACTACATTAGTAGCATCTTCACAATCATTTTGAATGTAGTTAAGCTTTCCTGTTCTATGTTTTTTGCACATTTTATATGCATTCTATCTATAAATCATAGAAAGAAATAGTGACTTATGTGAAATACTAATTAGAGACCTGTCTTGGGTTGGCATCCTTCTGCTATGCAAAACTCTAAATAGAGTTGTTCAACTGGCTGTGAAACCAACCCATATTTCTCTATCACAAAGATTACACAAAAGTCTTTGTTACACAGTTTCCCACCCTCATTAGTTTATTAAGCAACTATGGACCACCTGATAATATAAAAAGCTCCATATCAGATACTAGAACACAAGTCAGGAAAGACCTGGTCCCCTGGTGTGTGGAAGTGGTGATGGTCAGGTGCACACCAGTGTTTAGAAGTAACCACAGCAATGACTGAAGGGGGCTCAGGTGGCAGTGGGAGCACAGAAGGCAGAATTCCAACCCAGTTCCTGTCCTGGGGCCTCCTGTGGAGTGTGGAGCTTGGGCTCAATTCTGGGGGGTCAGACAAGGTTAGCACTGATAGCAGACCATGCTATCAGTGGTGAATACTGGTAAATGCTGGGCAGTAGAAATCTAAACCTTCATCCTGATGTTAATTTTTCTCCATTCAGTTAAAGCATCACTGTCTTTGCTAAAGAATTCAGAAGCAGAATGGTGGTTTAGTACCTCATTAAGCCTTCTCTTTGGAAAGATGTCCAAATGTCTTTACTTCTTTGTTCTTCTTGCACCAAAATAGTTCGAAAAAGAGATCTAACCTTTTCCATGACAAAACCACCAAGGATACAGGATTTCTATATTATTAGACTATCAAAATAAAAGCCAAAGTACCAAAAAGGCTGCTTAAATTGCTCTTCTCAACCACCGTTTCCTTTGGGAGAAAAAATAATATTAATAGTGAAAGAAGGAAATTGAGTGGGTAGAAGTAATCACAGGTAAAATTGGTAAGAATGCACTATGACCTCCTACTTCCATGACTGCAGGCTCTGTCTTTCTCGTTCTCTGATCCTCTTCTATACCATAGCGCACACATCCCCAGCACACTCATTTGCTTACTGTCTCTTCTCCAATCCTACCCAGAGTCTTCTCCAGAGTTTCATTTCCATTAAACTCATTAAAATACTAGCTAATAACAAAGGTGTTCATAGCCACATAAAGATCAGGAAATAAATTACCCAGATGTATTTGAGTTTACATAGTGAATCTGAAAGACCAGGAGTCTTTGAGACTCCAGTGCATAAGGCTATAATAATCAGAATAATGCCCTTTTGAATTATACCACCTTGACAGCCATCCTTCTGACTGATTAATCAATCATTAAGCCAGCCCAGCAGATTACTTCCCACCTCATTTGCCCTCCCAAAACATATAGCCCAATAAGTATTATTTGAATCAGGCATCACTGTATAAATGAAAGGTGAACAAAGGAAGTGATGTGCAGGCAACTGGGAAATGAAGACTTGTGGGCAGAGAATTTTTTTATTCTCAGAATTATAGAGGCATATTCAAAATATATATAGATGTAGATTTTGAAATATAGCATTAATTTTTACTAGAAATTACATTTGACATAATCAAAAAGCCATAACTTAAATTGGTTCCAAGCATATTCATAAGATGGGCTTTGATAAAGTAATAGAGATATTTAATGTTTTCATTTGGTTTTGTTTTCCCTTTGGAACCAGGTTATTCAGAGAATATTCTACACAGTCAACAGATCTTGGAGTGGAAAAATTACTTCGACAGAGATAAGAAAAAGCAACTTTTTGCAAGTATGTCTCTCACTCTCATTGGATTTCACATATAAAGAGCAATTTAAATAATTTCCTTACTTCATTTAACAAATATTTGAGTACTTACTCTATGCAAAGCACTGTCACTACTTTCAGTCATTAAGTATTTATCAAATATTTATATTGGGACACTGGGATGTTTGGGGTAGGGAGACAAAGATAAATAGAATAACAAAGGATCTCTGACTGAGGCATGCATTGTGGAGCAAGAGAGACAGGTGTACCACCCCTGACTTGATACATTCTAGAGATGTATATTAAAGGTGCAGAGAGGCTTCACAGAAAGACTGCCATATTATTGTGACCCTGGAGGATATCAGGAGTTTACCAAGATAAAATATTAGAAGAAAGAGGATTCCAGACAGAGAAAGCAGCATAAGCAAAGGCTGGAAGCATGCAAATGTCATATTCAGGAACTGCCAAACAATCTTAAGTGTCCAAAGGCTCCCAGAGAGTGACCAGAGATAGGGCTGAAAGAGTGTGGGCTGAGGCCAGGTTGGGAAGAGGCTTACCAAAGCAATGGAAGATTTTGGACCTGATCCTGTCTGCAGTGACTCTTTACCCAGTACCTGCTAAAAATTTCTTTTAAGAAAGAATACATTTCATTCAATTATTTTATTTATTTTACCAAATGAGAGAGTGAGTATTGACCACTAGTGGGAGCCTTTTACCGAGGTAATCTTCACACCTGATTGTTTAAGGTCGCCTAAAGAAAGTGGAATTGTTCATACTTGGAAGGAAATAAAATGTTTTATTTTAAATGACTGATACTAAATGAAGCTTAGGCTAATAATACAACCTTATTTACTGTTTATTTTTTCCTGTCTTCATCTGGGACAAAGTAATAAAGCCTTATCAAAATTAGCAGTCCAGTGGATATACAAACATTTTGTTATTCCAGAATGAACAGTCATCATCACATTCATTGTTGATATTTATTGAACACTAATGCCTGCCTGGGCTCTCACTAGTTTTATTAATAATATGGAATGGGTTAAGATGGCAGAAATTTCATATTACCTCAAGATAATAATCCCTCACATTCCTGAAGCACATTATAGTTTGTACTTTTTGAATCATTATTATAATGACAAACCTTTTTTTAACCAATGATAAAATATAGGTGAATGACTTATATAAGATCACACAACCAGCAAGCTGCTGAACTGGAAACAGAACTCATGTGCTTCCTAGAGCATGATTTATTTTACCCTCTCTCCTTCTCTACTCCTCTCCTTATTCTTCCTCTTAGTATTTAAACAAATACTCAAAATTTTCAAATAATATGAACACATCTATAGTAATAAATAAGCAGAAGTTGCTATTTATCTCTTCACTCTGTGGGTTCATACTATTCTGTTAACTTGTTTTTTCACTTAACAAGTATCTTGGGCTTCTTTTCATTTCCATTCATATAAATTATCTCACTCTTTTAACTACTGCATAATCAATCACATGGCTAAACTAATTACATATTCTATTGATCTTCAAATAATTTTCAGATTTCCTCTATTACAATGATGCAGAACATCCTGGTTCTTTCCTCTGGTGTGTATATGAGTAAGAATTTCTCTAGAATAGACCACTGGAGAGAAAATCCTGGATGAAATATTAATAGTATATGCATTTTTAATTTGATAGATCCTGCCAAGTTACCCTCCTAAAAGCCTGTACTAGTTCATACTTTCACTTATATAGTCACCAACAATAGAATTTATCTGTCATCTTCACTTAATGACAATCCAGTGGGTGAAAATGATAGTTCTTTGCTTTTGAAGATTTGTTTTATTGAAAGTATTCTACTTCAAACATATCAAAGGTCATTTTATAAAACAAAACATTACAAGCAAGTTTGGAAAAAAGAAGAAAAACTTGTTTTACCACCCTAATACAACTGGAATCATTTTTGTATGTGTTCTAATCTCATTCATATACATATATGGATTTTAGGATTTTACATAGTTATTAGAGTGTACAATCTTGTTTCCTATATTTTCTACTTACCACATCATGGTTTTCTTTTATTTGTATGTAGACTTAATAATTTTTACTGGCTGCATAATCTTCCATTGAACAGATTTACCATAATTTAATAATTTATGTTTTCAATTTTCAAAAATGTTCTGGCTTTCCAATGTTTACATTTAAAAATTTTTATCACAGTAATACACTTGCATACTTGCATTATGAAACAGTCCTCTTTCCCTCTTATGTTTTCCCTTGGAATTCTGTTTTATCTTCTATTAATATTGATATGCTTTCTTTTTTATTAACATTTGACTAGTGTATGTTTGTCCATTTTTTTTTTAGCCTTCCATCTTAATTTTTTTTTAGGTATATCCCTTGTAGATAGTATATACCTAGATCTGGTTTTTGGATTAGGTTTTGATACTCAATTTAAATTTTTTAATAGGCAAATTTTACTCATCTATCTTTATTGTGACTGTTGATATATCTGATCTCATTTTGTTTTTTCTGTTTCCTAAGTTCTATGCCAAGCCACCATGTGTCATCACTATTGTGTATATAAGTATCATTTATGGTAAACTTGATTTCATTACAAAACTAAACCTGGTATGTGGATGCCTACTCTTCTTAATATTGCTCACATAACTTTGAAAAGTTAAAAAGCAGTGTTAGTTTATGGCCATATAATTAAACTTGTTGTCTAATTGTTCTGTGCCTGCCAGTCTGTGGACCTCTGACTGGTTACAGTCCTCCTAGTAATGGCCCTTCTCTTTCCTTGCTTTTGTATCCTCCAGAGCATCTAATCCTTTGTTAAGCATATTATAGAGCTCAGCAAATTAAAGGTAGGATGAGGTTGCCTATTAAAAAGTTCCCTGACTTGTTACCAAAAACAAAATTGCAAATTCAATTTAAAACAAACGTTTGCTAGACTCTGTACAATGGCCAGAGCTGGTTTTTCATAATTTTGAAATTAATCTTTCTTTTTATACCATTTCAGACTCTAGCCCTTTTGGAAGAAGAAGAAGATATAAACCAAATCACAGATTACTTCTCCTATGAACATTTCTATGTTATTTATTGTAAATTCTGGGAACTAGATAGTGATCACGACCTTTACATCAGCCAGGCTGATCTATCTCGATACAATGACCAGGGTGAGTGAGTGACTCTGTAGATGCTAAGACTTAACCATTTTAAGAGTCATGTAAATTGTCCCTACTCATTATTAGAAATTCCCATTTCCTTAATTCTGTATCTAATCAAGCTGTCTTTATAGGGCCAAGAATTTTTAAGATGTGCAAAGATAATTTAATTTTTATATTTAAAGGCCAGGTGTATGAGAGAAGGGGTTTGGAGGTAAGCAATCAGTCTTAGTATTGATGAAGTGGTGGGTCTTTATAGTGATGTGTATTTCTGATGATGAACTGAATAAGATTCACACCTGTGTAAATCTATTTGAAAGAGAATATGTATATACCTTTATAAACTTTCCCACTTAACATTATTTCTATAAAAAGCCAAAGATGAAAATAATGTTTCTAACTTGCCAAGTTTATTTTCAAGAATCATAAAAACTTACTTTTGGGAATTTAATTCCAAAAGGTATTATCTCTACAGATGAATTTTGTGTGCTCTCTTTTGACAGCAAACGAAAAATTACTTATGATATTACCCTTTTTGCTTCATTTTTGCCTGTAGTAAACTTAGAACCTATTGCCTACTTATTTAATATTCTTAACCATGCACCATTCATTCTTCTCTCATAAGATTGTCCCTGGTGTATTTTTAAATGTCTTCTCAGGCACTGTTGATTTTTTTAATCAGACTTTAGCTTTTTAGATATAATAGAGTAAATCTTACATACATGCATTGAATTTTGTTTCTGTTATTTGGTATATCTGTGACCAGTGGTATACAGCTTAAGAAAAGGGTCATCATATATGATGTCAAGTTTCATGGAGCACTTTGCATATCTAGGAAACAGAGTTCTCATTCTCAAATTTTCAGATGCCAAGCAGACATCAAGGGGAACTACTCAAATGTACTTATTTGATCACTATATTAATACTGTTACATCCCTTCTTCAAGTAATCATAAACTTCCTATCACCAGAATAGCAGAAAGATGAAGATATTTATAAGGGTATGAGGTCAGCTTTATTAGCTGTGCATCTTCCCATTACCAGTAAACAGATCATCTATATAACATGAGCCAGGGTCCAGAGATCATGCACAATCCTGTGGCTTTAAAGCACCCTCTCTGGATCATATAACCATAATTCTTTCTAAGTCCCTAAATATTATATATACTCACATAGCAGGTAAAGAACTATCCATATTAATTGGGTGAAGTCTGGAAAATAAATGAAGGAACCACTAAATGCTACATAATTATCCACTCACCAGACTGTCCCTAAGGAGATAACGTGGAACAATACAGTCTTCAATTTAGGAGCCTAAACCCTCTAAAGCTAAAAAAAAAAATTGCTTTTCTAAAAAGATGTTAGCTTTAGAATTAAATATTCTTGCCTTTCGTATATAGCCTTCTTTTCCTATCTAGTACTAATTATTAACCCTATAAACCAATGTCCAAAGTATAGAAGGTCTTTATATAAGCTTCCACATGTGACCAGGTATGGCTGTACTGATAGACATATTCTCTTCATCAAACTAATGAACCTTTATACTGACTGTACCTAACTAACTCTATGCAGAAGATCAGATGTGGATAGCTGCTAAATTCCTAAAACCTCATAACTGGTCCTGACATTTTAGTGTGCATGCTATTGCCAGGAGCACTTGTTAAAAGAACAGGTCTGAGATCCCTAGGCCTTTTTTTCTTCTTCTTTTTTTTAATGGAGATAGGGTTTAGCTCTGGCCCAGGCTGGAGTGTAGTGGTGCAATCATAACTCACTGCAGCCTCAAATTCCTGGGCTCAAGAGATCCTCCTGCTTCAGCCACCTGAGTAACTTAGGGCTACAGGTGTGCATCATTGCACTCAGCTAATTTTTTGTAGAGATGGGTGTCTCACTTTGTTGCCCAGGCTGGTTTTGAACTCCTGGCCTCAAGTGACCTGGGATCCCCAGCACAGCTTGGATTACAGGCATAAGCCACCACACCTGGCTTCCTTTCCTTTCTTTTCCCTTCCTTTCCTTTCCTTTTTCCTTTCCTTTCTTTTGTTTTCTTCTGATGGCTTTGGTTATTTTGAAACCACCAGAGATTCTCTAGGATCTATCATAGTAAGCAACATACTATCTTAAGATAAAATTGTCTCTCTCTAATAAATAAAACTTACTGATAGAAAGTCTAAAAATTTTGTTATATCTTGTTATATCCTAGACTTTCATAGAACACAAATATAAAAGGACACTTATGATATGTTTTAGTATCTTCTATAAAATTCTATTTGAAAGCATTCTCCATTGTTTTATTCTGTTTTGTTTTATGTTATATTGTATTAGGAGCTACACAATCAGTTCCCCCTTGAATTTAATGCTAGGATAAAATTTGTCTTATTTTATAGGAAAATACATCTCATTGGATAAGAAGATCAATATAAATCCTGTACATTTTCATCTTAGTTGTCAGGATGTTCAGAATTAACTTAGCACTCAACTATATAAATACTTCCCAGATATCAGGGACATTCATTTGCCTGTTCTTTTTAAAAATTATTGATTAATGGATAGTAAGCTACCTCAAATTCTTACTTCCAAAAAGTATAAATCATACATAAGAAAAACGTAAGTCTTATTCTCATGATGGAAGATTGTTATGGTTTGTTTACCTTATAGCTAATAAAAATAAATTTGCCAAAAGTATTGCATTATGGAGTACATTTCTAACTAGCTTTGTAATTTCTTATTTATATTTAGCTTCATCAAACAGAATTATTGAAAGAATATTCTCTGGAGCAGTAACAAGGTAAGAAGAAGTTTAAAAACTGAGTTTAAAAATAGGCCGGGCGTGGTGGCTCACGCCTGTAATCCTAGCACTTTGGGAGGCCGAGGCGGGCGGATTGCTCAAGGTCAGGAGTTCGAAACCAGCCTGAGCGAGACCCTGTCTCTACCAAAAATAGAAATAAATTAATTGACCAACTAAAAATATATATACAAAAAATTAGCCGGGCATGGTGGCGCATGCCTGTAGTCCCAGCTACTCGGGAGGCTGAGGCAGTAGGATCGCTGAGCCCCGGAGATTGAGGTTGCTGTGAGCCAGGCTGACGCCACGGCACTCTAGCCCAGGCAACAGAGTGAGACACTGTCTCAAAAAAAAAAAAAAAAATGAACTGCAAGTGATACTGTAATGATCTCATTTTAGCAAGGCTTCCTGCATAATTTGGCAGTCGTACTGGGTGAAATAATATCCTATAAAACATACTGATGGTTAATATTATATAAGACAGTAATTCTTTAATATGACTATTAATCCTATATCTAAATACACATAACAGTATTTGATCCCAGTGATTATTTATTTGCATTCAAATTAGAAATCAGATTTCTTTTCTTCACATTTGCAGATGCCTTCTGATTTCACCCTCTTAGGCATCTGAAAAGAAGATATGCCATGGAAGGGTTGCCCTTTATGAGGCATCCAGCATTCTAAAGTTTTAAAAATTTTAACTAAATTTCCAAAGAAGACTATTACTTTATTTCTTAGTCCATCATTCTATTAAATGTATCTGAGTCATTGCTCAGGAAATTTTATAACTATGTATTTTCTTCAGGGGAAAAACAGTACAGAAAGAGGGAAGAATGAGCTATGCAGATTTTGTTTGGTTTTTGATCTCTGAGGAAGACAAAAGGAACCCTACCAGGTATGACTTCTAAGTTTCCTTTGCCAAGATGTTAAACACATGCACAAAGTTTGAAAAAGTCATAATGCATACCTTGTGAAGCTGACTCAGCCTGAGGATACTAAGATAGATTAGTCTCTGGCTTCTTGGAGTCTAAGAAAGGGAATAGGCACTGAATTCATGACATAGGCATATCAAGAGAAGTACTACCACAGAAACAAAGGTGAAGTGACATGTTAGTGGACCCTGAGGGATAAGTAGGACTGGTTAGGATTTATATAGTATGTGGGAATAGATAATGTTAATTTTAGTTTTATGATCTCAATGGTAAACTGGAGAGGGAGAAAAAAACAAATTGTAGATGATTAGTATATAATAACATGTGTTTGTTCTTTCAGTTGAAATCATCACTCCCTTTCCTTGACACTCTCAAATATACTTTGATTTATAATTATGAATTGATTTATAATTGTGAATTTATACATCTTTTTCTCCCACTGCTATCTCTCATTTAAGACAAAAATCTAGTTGCCTTACTTCTTTTTATCCCTAGCTTGTGTAACACAATGCCTTATACATAGTTTGTGCTCAGTACCAAAGGAGGGGAAGGGCTGTAGTCCTTGATGGTACTTATAGATATAACCAACTCAGCTGTCTTCATATTGGTTCAGAAAGTTATCTAAATGTTGAATATATTCTTTGGAAATATTTGTTGAAATAGAAAAAAATAAGCCATTTCTTCTGGCAGCTTGTTATATTATTTTTAAATGACTGTTATCCATTTCAAAAGTAATAATTTATTGTCCCTTATAGGTAATTAGAAAACATAGATGAAAAGAAAGAACAAAATAAATTGTAATACTAGTAATTCTAATATCCGGGAAAAAGACTTCATTAAAAGTTAGCATTCGGCCAGGCACAGTGGCTCACGCCTGTAATCCTAGCACTCTGATAGGCCGGGGCGGGCAGATTGCTCGAGGTCAGGAGTTCAAAACCAGCCTGAGCAAGAGCGAGACCCCGTCTCTATTAAAAATAGAAATAAATTAATTGGCCAACTAATATATATAGAAAAAATTAGCTGGGCATGGTGGCACATGACTGTAGTCTGAGCTACTCGGGAGGCTGAGGCAGTAGGATTGCTTGAGCCCAGGAGTTTGAGGTTGCTATGAGCTAGGCTGACGCCACGGCACTCACCCTAGCCTGGGCAACAAAGCGAGACTCTGTCTCAAAAAAAAAAAGTTAGCATTCATTATAGTATTTTTTCATATACAGATAGAGTATCTCTTATCCAAAATGCTTAGGACCAGCAGTGTTTTGCAGTTCAGGTTTTTTTTTTTTTTTCTTTCAGATTTTGGAGTATTTGCATTATACTTAGTGGTTGAGCATCCCAAATTCTAAATGTTCCAGTGAGCATTTCCTTTGGGCATGACCTTTGAGTGTCTTGTCAGTGCTCAAAAGTTTTGGATTTTGGGTCATTTTGGATTTCATATTTTCAGATTAGGGACGTTTAACCCATATGCTTTTTTTTTTTTTGAGACACAGTCAGTCTCGCTTTGTTGCCCAGGCTAGAGTGAGTGTCGTGGCATCAGCCTACCTCACAGCAACCTCAAACTCCTGGGCTCAAGCAATCCTACTGCCTCAGCCTCCCGAGTAGCTGGGATTACAGGCATGCACCACCATGCACGGCTAATTTCTTCTATATATATTAGTTAGCCAATTAATTTCTTTCTATTTATAGTAGAGACGGGGGTCTTGCTCTTGCTCAGGCTGGTTTCAAACTCCTGACCTCGAGCAATCCACCCACCTTGGCCTCCCAGAGTGCTAGGATTACAGGCGAGCTACCGCACCTGGCCTAACCCATATATTTTTACATACTGTTCGTACTTTTAGATTATTTCCATTGGATTAAATCTGAATTGCTGTATACCCCAAATTTTTAATGGAATGCTCTCCTAAATATCCTCTAATAACTACAGCTACATAGTTGTTATATCTACAGTTTTTTCCATAGACTAAATTCCCAGATAAGTAATTGCTAGGTTAAAGGATAGGCATATTTTTAAAAAAGAAAAATGGTATCAGTTTATATCTTTACCAACAAGGTATTGAGCATATTTCCTAGAACCCTTACTAATAGTAGGTATTTTCCTCTGAAAAATATTTTCCAATTTGAAAAATAAGAATAAAGTATCAATTTATATTTCTTTGATTACTAGAGAGGCTGAATTTATATGTATTTGCCCATTTTAATTTCATCTCAGGTGACTTGCCTTTTTCATATGTTTTGCACATTGCTGCTAGATTAAATTTTTAAGTTTATTGCTTAATGATATACACATTGTTTTTTTATTTATTTATTTTTTTAAATTCAAGATATTATGAAGATACATTTAATGCGTTTGCCTCACCCAAGCCAGGGCTACAAGTATGCCCTTTCCCCATACAGTGTGCTCTACTTCCATTATTTAAGGGTTTATCCCCTCCCCCCAGAGTAATGAGTATTAGTTACTACCACGTGAGCACCTTAGTGTTGATCAATTAGTACCAATTTGATGGTGAGTACATGTGGTACATGTTTTTCCCTTCTTGTGATACCTCACTTCAAAGGACAGGCTCAAGCTCTATCCAGGATAATGTAAGAGGTGCTAGTTGACCATTGTTTTTTGTAGTTGAGTAGTATTCCATGGTATACATATACCACATTTTATTAATCCACTCATGTATTGATGGGCACTTGGGTTGTTTCCACATCTTTGCAATTGTGAATTGTGCTGCTATAAAGTGCAAGTTTCTTTTATAAAATGTCTTTTTTTTTTTTCCTTTGGGTAGATGCCTAGTAATGGGATTGCTGGATCAAATGGAATTTCCATTTTTAGCTCTCTGAGGTATTTCCAAATTACTTTCCACAGGGGTTGTACTAATTTGCAGTCCCACCAGCACTGTAAGAGTGTTCCAATCTTTCAGCATCCACGCCAACATTTATTGTTTTGGTACTTTTTGATAAAGGCCATTCTCATCGGAGTCAGGTGATATCTCATTGTGGTTTTGATTTGCATTTCCCTAGTGATTAGAGATGTTGAGTACTTTTTAATATATTTGCTGGCCATTATTCTGTCTTCTTTGGAGAAGTTTCTGTTCATGTCCTTTGCCCATTAATTGATGGGTTGATTTTTTCTTGTTGATTTTCTTAAGTTCTATGTAGATTCTTGTTATCAGCCCCTTATCAAATGTGTAGAAAGCAAAACTTTTCTCCCATTGTATAGGTTGTCTGTTTGCTCTAATGATAGTTTCCTTGGCTGTGCAGAAGCCTTTTTATTTGATCAGGTCCCATTTGTTTATTTTTGTTCCTGCTGTGATTGCTTTGGGAGTCTTCTTCATAAATTCTTTGGCGAGGCCGATGTCTAAAAGAGTCTTCCCAACATTTTCTTCAAGAATTTTTAAGGTTTCACACCTTAGGTTTAAGTCTTTTATCCATCGTGAGTTGATTTCTGTGAGCGGTGAGAGGTGGGGATCTGGTTTCAATCTTCTGCATGTGGATATCCAGTTTTCCCAGTACCATTTATTGAATAAGGATTCTTTTCTCCAGTGTATATTTTTGTCTGCTTTGTCAAAGATTAGAGGGCTATATGAGGATGGTTTTATATCTTGGTTCTCCATCCTATTCCAAATGTCTATATCTCTGTTCATGTTCTAGTATTATGCTGTTTTTGTTACTATAACCTTGTAGTAAAGTTTGAAGTCTGGCAGACTGATGCCTCCCAATTTGTTCTTTTTGCTTAAGATAAATATTAAAATTATGAAATACATGCAATCAAAAACCTTAATATAAAATTCATTCATAATTCCATGACCCATAGTTAATGTTTTGGTATATATCCTCCCTTTCCCCCTCCTTTTATTCCCCCTTCCTGCTTCTTCCCCTTTTCCTTCCTTTTCTCCTTCTCCTTGCTCCAAATGATACAGTATGATAAATGGGATTATACTATATATAGTTTTTTAACACATTTTTCCACATATAGTAAATTTTCATATCAATAAGTATGCATATGTAAATTTGTCATTAATGTATTATTTTGAAGGCTTGGGGTGGTTTCAGTTAGATTACCTAAATTTCCAAAGATTTGAAGATGTGCATTTTTTCTTTTCACTTTTTTGGTGTTTTTTTTAACCCTCTCAATCTTTACCTTAATTATGGAAAAACTTTCCTCAAATACTTCCCATCCATGTTTTTCTTTTTCTGGAACCCCTATTATTCCACAGGAACAAATGAAGAAAACCAGAATGGTAGTTAAGTTCAATATAACAAATTCTGTAATATAACAAATTCCCTTTCTTCTCTCAACTTCTTTAAAAAGCATAAAATCATATAAAGTAGTAATTATAACAATTATAACTGTAATTATTGAGTTTTTAATATGTATAGCTGTAAGTTGTATGACAATAATAGTACAAAAAGAGGGAAGAAAGAATAGAGCTATAAGGAGTAATATTTCAATATCTCATACTGCAATTAAATCAGTACAAATCTGAAGTCAATTTTGACAAATTAAGATGTATATGGTGAGCTCTAGAGCAACCACTAGGAAATTAACTAAAAATACATAGTGAAAGAATCATTAAAGGATTAAAATGTTAGAAAATATTCACTTAATATAAAAAAAGGGGCCAGGAACAGTGGCTCACACCTATAATCCTAGCACTTTGGGAAGCCAAGGTAGGAAGATCACTTGAGGCCAGAAGCTCAAGACCAGCATGAGCAACAGAGTGAGACCCCACCTCTACAAAAATTAGAAAAATTAGCTGCGCATAATGGTGCAGACATTACTTGTGAAGCTGAGGCAGGCAGATCACTTGAGCCCAGGAGTTTGAAGTTGCAGTGAGCTATGATGACACCACTGCACTCTAGACTGGGCATGAGAGCAAGACCCTGTCCCAAAAAAAAAGAAAAGAGAAAAATGTTAAAATGTACAGAAGACAAAAAGTAACACAACAGATGTAATCCAACTATAGCAACAATAACA